CGAGTTCTTAGTGCCTTTTTTAAGGTCTGGCAGATAGTAGGTGTCCAGTAATTATTTGTTAAATGAATGACAAGGTCTGGAGTTGATTTTCTGTTTGTCTCACCAATTATATCACCATATTCTTGAAGAAAATAAACTATATATTATTATTTTTTGTTTCTATCCAATCACAAAATCTAAAATACATGTCGGTAAATTTTTTTTGAGCCAATGAATAAAACTCTGTATTGAATGGATAATATTATTTGAAGTCTAAATGTTTTCTAAGGCCATGTGATTCAAAGGACAGTAACAGGAATTTCCACGGGGATGATGGTTTCACTGACGAATTATATAATTATGAATAATACATTACATTTTTATTACTACACATCCTTCCCTAACTCATTCATCCCTTATCTCAAGCTTTTAACATTTTCTCTAGTAAAGGAAAAAGTTGTAGAACTAAAGATGTCTGAACTATCGTACTGATAGTAACTTGGTAAAACTCCATTTGACATTTGTCTCTTTATTCTGTCCATCTGTTTGAGTGAAGTGATAGTACTTACAATTGGTGGTGAATGCTTAGGTAAATGGAAAGATAAAAACTGATCTGAAGTGACTTAGGATAAAATCCTATCTTTAACAATGTTGAACTTTGTCTGATTGAAAATATGTGGCTCTGTAAACCCAGTCATATAATAAGTATTCAGCTGGCCCTTCATTATCTATCCATTTCTACCCTATTATTATTATTATTATTTCATTTTATTTTATTTTTGGTTACTCAGCCACAAGTGGATATTGTGTGATGAGAAATTTTTTGGCCACTCTAACAATCAATCAATGATACAGAAGATCAACATCTGAGAACAAGAAAGGCAATTTCACTTGTCAAGCAAATTTACTTGTCAAGGGAAGAAGGTGATTTCCCTTTCAATGGATTACAACACCAGGAACTGAATAGTCTGTTTGTTTTAAAATCTAATTAACAGTCTATACATTACTGATCTTGGGCAATACTCTTGTTTGCAGTGTTGACTTTAAACATTTCATAAAGGTTAACTAGAAGTTCAAGATGTTCTATGGAATTCTGAAATACATTTTAAACTTCTGACACTTAAAACAGACTATCATTAATCATGCAGCTGGGAAAATCAAGAAAACTTTTTTGTGTTGTTTCAAGAATTTGAAAAACGTATAATGTCAGAACAACATTTCGAGGCATTGCCTCAGTTTCAACTCAGTGATGTGAGGAAAATAAAGTAATATTGCTCCGCGCCTGTTGAATATCCCACAACTGGAGTAGCAGAGTAGCCAGCCAGATCTTCACCAGTCTTTCTCTTACTGTTGACTCTCTTCTTTCCCTTTGTAAATGGTTTTCTGATATAATTTAGCCATATCCATCATATCAAACATCATCTATATGATATAATGATTCTCAGATCCACATCCACATTTTCATCTTTTTTTCAGAACACCAGATTTATTATTTCAACTGTCCTCTGGGTATCATATTTTTGTTGTATTGCAGTCATCTCACATTAAATATACACCGAACTTAAATCACCACTTCATCTATATAATTATTTTCTCTTCCCTCTCTTGTCTAATTGCAACAGCGTTTGCATCAATGTCAGTCTCACCCTTTCCCTCTTCTTCATCCTCATATCAAAACTGCCTCAAGTTCTAACAACCAGAATGAAAAAAAAAAATGTTGTTTGATATTGCCATTGTTCAGGCCCTTACCTCTGTAACCAAGGGCAGTCTTTGAGCAGACTCACATACGGTTCTCTTACCACTATGTAATTCTCCTTTCTGTTTTCCATGGAGTACAGTTATTATATTCATTATAATAACTCTTTGAAATAACATTCAAACTCCTAACACAAGAAAAACACTTTTTATAAGTGAACAGTAACCTTTTATCGGTAGGCTTATTGAATGTCATTTTATACCACACTTTTTTCTTCATCAAAACTGAACCTACTATTATTTTTTAAACACACACAATATTTGATTATAATATTATAATCTTCTTCAAAAAGATGTTATTTCGGTAACACTTTCTTCAATTTCGTCTCTACCTGAAAAATTCATAACTATGTTACTATTTCCAACTCAAAACCCCTTTATTTAATTCTTTTCCAACTTTTCCATTTATCTATTTAATGCGATTCCATTGAGCATTGCTCAGAGTTTCAATATAGGGTAATTTTTGTATCATATAGCATAGCAATTTTTGCTTATATATTCTGCTGAGTGGACTATTCTAAGAAAAGAAGTGGTCTTACTCATCTATTTATCATCAAAACTTGATTTAATGCTAAGTCTTCCCCAACATACATTCTCATAATGCCCTATAGTTCTTTCTCCTCTGAATCACTTACCATAACCATAATGAAATAATTAATTGTGCAATTAATTATTTAGCCTCTGGTTTTCCTGACAAAGTGTTAATTCCAAACTTATATTCACCTCTTCATCCCAATCATAATTCTAGCAGATAGTAGGTAATCAATAAATATATATTGAATGAGTTCGTGAATAGAGGTATTCCCGTAGCAGTAAACACCAATAACTTAAATAGCATTGAATCTGTCAAGTGATGATGGTGTAATATCTATTTTCTATTATATACTTCTTTGCTCAGTAGAAACCTACTGAGAATTTAGAACATAGTACATTAATCCATGTTCATTTGTATTCTTATGTATAAAGTTGTCCTTCCATCTCACTTAATTTATGATTTTAAAAGAAATTTTTCCCAACCCCTTAATGTCTGGAGGATCCTATGAAAATTAATAACTTTCTGATGCTGTATTTTTCTCATCTGTAAAATGAGAATAAATGATAAATTTAAAATTGTATTTTCTGAGGATTAAATGAGATACCGTTAATGTCAGCATCTAGCACACTGCCTGCTAATTATTAGTCAGCAAATATCCCCCTTCTTTAACACTCCTTCTTTCTTATATCTCCCCACATCCTGCCTCCCTCCTTTTCTTTCATCCTTCCTTCTCTTCCTCTCTTTCTCCTTTCCTTTCTTTTCTTCTCTACCAGAAGATAAACTCTCTCAGAGAACTGTGTCTTATTTATCTTGTCTCTAGAAACTAGCATTGCTGCTAGTAAATAACGAGTACTCAATAGATCTTGGATTCATATCTGAATTTTTTGGAATAAGAGCTCATTCATTAACCTGATGACCATGTTAATCAGATAAAATTATTTTGACATATGTTAACCAGATAAAAGTATATTTGGGAAGAGATATATCATAATAACATATTAGTTCCTAAGATGATTTAATAGAATAGTGCAAAGCATATATTTTTGTTAACAATAAGTTGCTTGATTAAAGTTAAGATTGAATAGAATCATTTACTCAACATGAAAATTTTACATTTAGAAAGCTATTTTAGAGAAGTTTCATTACTTTAGATTTATCAGCCTTGGGAATAAAGAATTGGTTGCTTTAATTTAAAAACAATCTGCCTTATGGTGCTGTTTGTCTTGAATGCTGATTAATAAAAGCTGTGAGCTTCAAATTTGTTTTGGAAGCTAATGACTTGATTTATTTTATGAGTATGGAGAGTGGAGTATAAAGAGTGGTTCTAATAATAAGCCTATCAGGCTGAGGGAAAGAAAGAGACTAACAGTTTTATGTTCCAATGGAAAGAAATTAAATCTTGAAACTGGTAGGACAGTTCAACAATTGAGGATCAGCTTGTTAGAGTAAAGGCAGACAAAAACAAAAGTCCTAAATATGAGTGGAGAAAAGAGCAAAGTTTTAATTCTACTGAAAGAATAGCACAGTCAGAGTTTTCATGAACATAGTTCTGCGTTGTAATATGAAATATGGTCAACAAGGAACCCTTGTTCTCATATTCCCTAGGCCTCATTGTTGCCCGTATTTTACTTTCCAGTAAAGTTCCTCATCTATTATAATTGGTTTTGTTGTTCCGTTGTTTGTATTTGCTGTTGCAATGTTCAAGCCTATTTCTAAAAGACTCACACCAATTTCTTTCATTACCCGATGTAACATTCTTCAAGCCAGAGGCATGAACTCCATCAATATTTGAAACAGAAAGGATGTTAAAGAAAACAAAACGGATGGGAGAATTAACCCACTGGAGATTCTGGCAAAAAGTTGCCAGTTTCTTTGGTATGGCTCATTTTTCTTGTAGGACTGTTTTGCAATCAAAATGGTAATGAATCTTTTTCTTTTTTCTTTTTGACAAAAGTTTCTATTAGGTGTGTATGCACCCACATGTGTTTATAACCTTTTCTTTTATTTTTTTCTTATATTTAGGGTATAAAAATATTGAACATTGTAAAAAGAACCTCACTAAGAAAATCATAGTAAGTGTTGATGCATATCAATATTTTAAATGCTCTATTCTGCATTATGAAATTATTTTTTAAAAATAGTTTCAATTATCTGTAAAATGAGCCCATATTGAGATATCTATTTGCTCCTGGGTTTGGGCAACATCAAATATGCCACTTCTCTCAGAAGCCTGGAAAATTTACGTTTTGGGAACTGGAATAACAGGCTGTTTTCTTCCAAGAGCTAATTCCTATGTGTTAATGCTTTTGAAACTGTGGTCAGCCCTGTGAGTGAGGTACTAAATTAAACTAATGAACTCCTAAATGTCACACAACTGCTTTCTTTGTTTTTCTCTTTCTTCCTGCCCAACCTGTGCTATTGATTCCAAAAACAGAGCAGCATCCAGTAAATTTAAGAAGGAAGTAGTATATTAAATGACACCTCTTGAGAAGTAATGAGAAAGGTGATCTAAATGTAATTGGTGGGTCTCATGATACTTGCTCCAAAAAGTAATCTATCCTTCATTGCGAGTGACTATAAAAGCAACACTATGCAGAGAGAGGCAGACTAGATGGAAGGAAAGATCTTAGAGACTTGAAGCAGCTGACTTTTAATAAGAGAAAAAGTGACAAAGAGACAGACAGAGAAAATACTTATCTTGAACTCTTTATTATTCAGGCATTGGGATAAAATGGTGTCCACCATTTTTCTGAGCACCTTTTTGTTTCATTTTATTGTTGCTGTGGCTTCAGAACCGTAAGAGAATATTATACTCTCTATATATTAAAGTACTAGCAAAGTGACCTTATTAAATATGTTCTGTGTTAAAATTTGATATTTTACCATTTCAGCTTCTGAGACTGAGTGCTGATTTGCCTTATAAGTTTTAAACAAGTACTTGAAGAGAATTGACATCTTTTTCTTGAGATATTTCTTTCTGTATACTCAAATATGTTATAATACTGTCTATGAAAAAAATGTGTGTTTCAGGAATATTTTGATAAGTTAACATTGCTTTTTATGCATGATCTGCATTTTTTGTACACTTGTTTAGAGTGTTGGTTATTGTCTTTGCATAGGCGATATATTCTGTGGATCTCCTCTGTGGTACAGAGTCATTCTACAGAAAAGGCTTGTCTCCACCTTTTAAACCTCAATGAATCTGTGTCTTTGAGTGTTGTTTTAGAGTATAATGAATTCAATACCACTATTTTTGACCAGTCTGTGGAAGAGGAGAACTTCTATGCTTGTGCAGATTTCAAGGTGAGACACTGAATTTGCCATTTCAGAACTTCAGGTGGGAAAATAAAATTATTATTTAAAAATTATTTTTAGAGAGATAACAAATCTTCATTTCAGGTTAATTGTGGAAGCTAGGGAGTAAAACTAAAGAATTTCCAAGAGGTAAGAAATAAAAGGAAAATATACATAGCCAAAAAACTTGTGGAATATTGTCATTTTTCTCTTGTGGGAGTGACACTAAGACACAATTTCTGCTTTTTGATAGAACCTTTTAACAACATGAGGAAAGAGAATCTGGTTATAGGAAAGCTGAATTGGGACTTAGGGCAACAAAAAAAAAAATGAAAATAGGAGACAAGAAGACATGAAAATAACTTAATTGCAAATTGCTCTCATGTAAAGGAATTATAACAAGTGATCACTAAGTCTCTCATTAAGAAATGAATTTACAAGGCTTTCTCTGTCTGACAAACCAAATTAAAACATTGTTTGCTATCTTAATATCTACAAGTAATTTTCCCATTCTCTGCTCTTTAACATAAACAGGTTTCTCCAAAGTCCTCTGAACAGTTGGCTTTTGTGACATTGTTGGCTAAGGGAGATACTCTTAAAATCTTTGAAAGAAGATCCGTAGCACTCACTTCAGAAGAGACAGTAACCTTTATGCAGACAGATAAACCAATCTATAAACCTGGAGAGAATGGTAAGTCAATATTTGTGTTTCCTTTGTATAATTGACCTGAAAAACACATTCTTCACATTCAGAGTAATCCAAACACATGAATTTTAGTCTTAAATTTATTCTTAATGTTATGGGATTATGGATTTCTAGAATTTTTACTAGTTGGCTCCTCGATTATAAAATAATTCCCTCCAACTTCAGTAACTAAATGTTTGTGCATGTCATTTTAATTTTTTACTAATTGTAGTAACAGGCTTACACAATATAATGGTTACAAGCATGGGTGTGGAACAAAAATGTTTGATTTGAATCATTGCTCCATAATTTATCAATTGTGTAAACTAATTAAATCTCTATTTAGACTAAGTTTTTTCATCAGTAGAATGGAGACAATAAAATTGTTTCACTTATACAAATATAAGAATAAAATAAGAGAGTAAATATAAAATAGTACTTAGCACACAGTAAAGACTCCATAAGCAATATTTATTATCGCTATTTTTATTATTCATGTCAGTAGATGTAATCATAAATCTGATAACCTAAGCAGAGCCCTTTTATTTTCTTTATTATTGTAAATGAAAGGTAGCAGAAAGAATGCCAAAGAAGGGTTCAAAAGGATATGGTTTTTGCCTTAGCTCTGTTAATAAAGTATTGACTTTTGTCAAGTAAATTCTGACCTTTAAGATCTTTAGTTTTCTCATGTGTAAAATAGAGAGTTAAATGAGGGCATCTATACATTTTGTTCTAATAGTATATATTTGTATGATTTATTGAAAAGAAATAAAAGAATTAAAACAATCCATATGGTGATTTTTTTTATATTATATTTTTTCTGTGGACTTATTAAAATGCTCTGTATACAAAAGTAACTAAAATGGTTTTCTAGAATTCTGAATTAATATAGTGTAATGTTTGCTAACATTATGTCTAACTTCTACCATACACATTTCTCATTTGTCCTTCTGTGACTAATTTTGTCACTAATTTTTAAGGTATCCTTATGGGCTATTGAGGTAAAAGTTTCCAGCAGTGGCAGTAGCTAGTGTCAGCTTTGATAACAACAGAGTATCATCAACAGAGGAATTACAAATGTGCAATAAGAGATCCTTCCAAATGGAACTCTGATCTCAAAGGGACTAGTCAGAGCTAAGGGAAAAGGGAAAGCAGTGTTCTATGATAGCAAGGCAATTGATTTCTGTCTCTATTTATAAGCAATCATACCTGGAAGATAAATAACAAAAATATATATATATTGTCCCCCTTTCCTCTTCTCTTTTAGTTCAAATTCGCATCGTGACACTGAATACCAAGTTCAAACCTGTTGAGGATTTGGTAAGTTCAATCATTTCTAACCGTACAAGGAAATTTAAACAAATTAAATCCATTGTTATATAAAGTGTTGTCGGGAAGCTTTTCATAAATACAAAAATAAATTCTAGGGTGGGAGAAGGTAAGTAAGGGTAAAGGAGGTCAAATACATGGTGACAGAAGGAAATTTAACTTTGGGCAGTGAACACATAATGCAATATACATATAACATATGATTGAATTGTACACTTGAATCTATATAATTTTATTAACCAATGTCACTACAATAAATCTAATAAAAATAAATAAAAAATAAATTCTAACATGGAGAAATATATAGCTATAATTTCATTGTTAAACCTCAAAATTTAAAGATAAAACTTTTCTTTATAGTGAGTTAATTTATACTTCTTTAGGACGTTTCACCATATAAGAAAGAAAATTAGTTGCATGAAACCTTCTTTCCACTTATTTCCAAGAAGAGGTTTGGGATCCCTTTCACATTTGGAGTTTTCTTGGCATCTTTAGTTGTAGAAAATTTGCACTCAGAAAGTGAGAGCTAAGTTTCAACACTTAAATTAAGTTATATAATCTTTATCATGCAATATGTGGCAAAAAAATGAATGCACTATTACAATATTAACCTGCATTTTTCCCCCTCTTTCAGTACCCTTTAATCACACTTCAGGTAAGAGATCTACTTTTCATATCTGTTACTTAAAATATTCAGATAATGATTTTTGTCTAGTTCTAGTTTTCATTATGTCTAGTTAGAAATTAATATAACTGAAATAAGGGGGAGAGAAATCTTTAGTAAGACATCAGATGAAGCTTTAAATAAAAGGTTGTCACTTTTAGTGTAGGCTGTGTGGCAGGCATATGCAGTAACTTAGGTTTTCATGGAAAGAAAAGATTGGGCTTTTTTAAAGGGAGGTTTATATTTAGAATTGCTTAATTTGAGCTGCTAGCCCTTCTCTATCTTAATTTAGCTCTATCTTGTTTAAGGAAATAGAAAACATAAATGAGTACAAATTTACACATTAGCTAGAAAGCAATAATATAAGATTGAATCTTTGTTTTCTGAAAATAGTTAATGGAGTTTTTTTCTACTAATTCAAATCTCTAATGTTGTGTAGTGTGACATTCAAACATATTTGAAGCCTTATGCCTGTCAGCAAATAACATTCAACTCCAACGTATATATTTAAATCTGTACAGAAAATATATGTACCATTATTATTAACTAATTCTGAAGGTTAACACACTGATATCTAGGTTCATCATTAATGATTATGTGTGTAAATACGTACTTCAAATAGTCTTCTTTATAATTTGAATGTTTTGACTTTGTTATATGGGTGTTAAATAGCACATCCTTCTAGTACAATAAATGTTAGGTCAGCCATTTTAATGTTTTCTGCATTATTTGTAATCTATAAATAGTGTTATTTTCACATCCTAATTCCACTAGTGTTGTGTTACATTGAAAGCGACAGAAAGCTTAATTAACATTGTTTTATATTCAGTAAAAAGTTTACTGTTTTCTCAAACCATTTTGTCTGAGTGTAGGCACTTGGAGTTTAGAATAGTAACAGCGAAACGTTACCAAGGACCCAGGCTTCTACTTCTTTGGCATCCTCAATGTGTTGTTTTATTTTCAATGCCAACTGAGTCTGATTTTTTTGAAAGATATTTTAATCCAGTGACTACACTCACATTTAATTGGCCAGCATCCAGTCACATGGACAATCCTTACTGAAAGGAAGTATGGAAAATTAATTTAGCTTTCTAGATTTTCTTGTAGAGGAAAGAAAAAAATGTGTGTAGAGAATGTTTGTGTTGCTCTGCAGAAATCTTTTTATCAGAATTTCTTTAATCACAATTGGGTGATATCAATAAATTTGTTGACCCATGCTCACATAATCTGCAATAGGCTAAAAACAAATAAAGGGAAAAGGATGATATTATCAATCCTTTTTTATTGTAGAACTTCCATTTAACAGCTCTTGCATGCCGTGTGGAATTCACAACCAACTTACTTACAGACCAAATAAAATCTAGTGACAATATTTATAAGTATTTGTTAGGATGAGTATTTCCTTATGCATCTATTGCTGCGGGTCCACTATACTTCAAAGAGTACTACTCCACAGCATGCACACCGAGTTTTAAATTCTTTATGCAACTCTGGTTCAGGAAGATCACAAGCAAAGGCATTAATTACAGATTATTTTTTCTTATCTTTTTTGGGCTTAAGAGAGATATGCCATAAGACTGAATGTGAATACCTAAGGAAATTATGTTGTTTTTACAATTGGAGATATTAGTCTAATAAAATGGTAGAGCTTTCCTCACTTCCCATAACTGCAAAACGTGCCCCAAATGAAGAAATAACAAATAATATTCTTATATGACCTCTCTTTTTATTTCTTCTTTATTTTCTAGGATCCTCAAAATAATAGGATTTTTCAATGGAAAAATGTGACTTCTTTTCAAAATATTACCCAACTCTCATTCCCATTGATTTCAGAACCAATGTTTGGAGATTACTCTATTATTGTACAAAGGAAATCAAGAAATACATTGATACACCAATTTACTGTTAATAGATATGGTAAACAATTATTTATGGTTGTGTTATATAAATGAAGAGTTCAAGGACTGAACAAAACAACTTTAATGTTAGAATTACACAAAACTAGGCGAGATTTGATTTCGTGTTCTGCCACCTTTCTTTCTTGGCCTTTTCTTCTTTATCGTCTCTCCTTTCTTGCTCCTCACTCCTTGCTTGTACTCTTATTTTGACCCCAACTTTTCCTCCCCAGGAAATATCTCATTTTATAGAATCCAAACAATCTTCTAGCGAGGATCTAACGTATTACAACAAATAAAATGTGAAAATCTGAGACTATGGAAGAGAAAGGAAAGGGGAATAATTGACCATTAATGAGACACCATCAGTTACTGGAACCACACAGAATGTGGGACAATTGAAATGTGGTCTATACAGACATGTACATAGGGAAATGTTGTGCATTGCAGCTGGCTTAGTTACATGATTGCAATAAGTTTTGCTCACCAGTGATTGCTAAGGCTGAAGTATCTTTCTTTTTGTTTCCAGTGTTGCCCAAGTTTGAAGTTAAAGTCAATGTGCCACAAACAATAACTATTTCAGATGATGAATTCCAAGTGGATGCATGTGCTAAGTAAGTATTCAGGAGAGTCGACTCCTCAGGTTAATACAAGGCCCAGAGAAAAAGAAATGAAATTAACCATGTAGCTTTAATTTTTTTATATGCTTACATTAAAATGGTTAGAGAAGTAATGAATTCTTATTGTAGAATATTTGAAAAATATAAAGAAAAACATTAGAAATTACCTTAAATAATTCTACTGACTGCCATTAACATTGGGATTTATTTTTCCTCCAATCTTTTATGAATAGTTTCCACAACTGCAATCATACTTTTCTACCCACTATAATTAAGAAAACATGTACTCATATTATGGCAACTTTTCCATGAATTCCAATTCTTTGCTGCATAAACATCTCTGTATGTGGCTTTACTAAAGTTATTTAACTATTCTTTTATTATATAGCATGTAGGCTGTTCCACTGGTTTTCTTAGTAATAAATATAAATATCAAAGTAAATGTCTTTGTATATGTGTATAAGAAATGGCTTTTGAATTAAAAATTACTTAAGAAAGATTTCCAGAATTTGAATTACCAAAACAAAATGTGTTGCATTCTTTTAGTCTTTGATTGTCATGATCCTCCCAAAATATGTTGTGCAATGTACAATTCCCACAGTTTGTACAGAAATAACTGCCTCATTGAATCTTCATTAAAAAAATAAAATAAAATAAACTTTTAAAAATGTCTTGGTGGAATAAAAAGGTATTATCAATTTAATTTGAATTAATTTGAATCCTTTTAATGTAAAAAAATTCCTATATGATTTGAAAATTTTTGATTTCCTTTTTGGGAAATTATTTTTAGTGTCATTTATCACTTTTTAAAGTGTGATGCCTTTTCTCAAATTTCTAATCATAATAAAAATAGCTAATATTTATTAATATATGGCAATTACTGTGCTAAGCATTAGGTTGATAGTCTCATCATAATGCTAAATGTGGAGTGTGTTGATGATAGAACTAGGATTTAGACCTTAGCTATTTGGTTTCTGAGCCACTCTCTTAAGACCTTTGATATAAATGATTAAAATATTAATATTTGCCACATTTGATAAACACTATTTAATTGATCACATGAAAATTCCTTGCTCTTGAATATTTTCAGCAGTTTATTAAATGTACATTGGGTAAAGGGTTGTTTAATAAAATAGTTGTAATGCTTGAGGATGCCACAAAGAATCTTGAAAATCAGTTTTTACCACCACCAATCCCTTTTGGGGGGTGATAATATTTAAAATGTACTTTGGACTCTAGGAAAATAATCATAATATATTTCTGAGTTTTAATGAAGAGTAGCTGAACACATGCCAGAATTTCCTAAATGTAATATTTGAAAGAATGTATGTTATTTTATCTATGTTAAAAATAATGGGGGTAATCAATATAAGCTTGAAGAAATCTAAGATCCTAAACCCTAAACTGGCTTCACTTGAAAAACCCTACACTATGCCAGAATTGTCAATAGGATTAATATCTAAAATATCTGCCGATGGTATGCTAACGAAAAACTAAAGTCAACTATATTTGCCTATGACTGAACCATTAAAAAACTTGTAGTCTTTTGTGTTTTAGGAGATAATGTGATATTTATTTAATCCCACCTCATAAGACATTATACTTTTGGTCAAAGTATATTTAGTTTATGCCATTCTCTATACTTTTTATAGTTATTAAGTGGTAAAATGAGAATTGTTTAAAATCTTGACCTAGAAGTTCTTCAAATCCTAAATAATCCAAGTTTAATTTATGTACGTATGTATTTTCTGATAAAGAAAAAAAAGTGCTGTAAACAATTTTTGTAATATTCCTATCAGATTAAAATATAATTTGAAAAACTCGATTTATCATTAAATCTTATTCACTGAGATTTTAGAGTCCACATTATCTTGAATTTGATTTTTAAAAAGATGCTGAATCCTCCTAACAGATCAAATGACTAAATTAATCTAAATTCTGTGGGGATGACAGCACCAGTAGATGAGAATTCCTAATGGAATTTGATCACTGGGGTGGTCCTAGTTTATAGATTTCATATATAATTTCTGAAGAAGACTATAAAATGTTATGATGGTTTTGTTCATCCATAATTACCAGTACACCTTCTCCTGCTAGGTACACCTTTGGCCAACCTGTGCAAGGGAAAGCCCAAATCCATGTGTGCAGAGAGTATTTTTCCTCACAGAATTGTGAGACAGACAACAATGAAATATGTGAACAATTTATTGCACAGGTACAGATCATGATCTTTATTCAAAAAATCAAAGTTCTTGTTCATTTTCATTATTGTCCTTTCTTTGGTTTCATTTATTAAAGGGACTTATTATTTTTATTTTGTGAATAATGGAAGTTGCAGCTAGATAAGGTAAAGAATGAGGGAGAAAATAACAACGTTTAATAGTAGTCTCTTATTTTCTAGGCCATTTAAATTGTTATCCACCTACAGATTAATACAGTTTTAGAATTCAAAGATCTTATTAGCTTCCTTGTATCATATTCGGTCTTAGTGACCTCCTTGATCTTTCTTTGGGAATCATTAATCACCCTTTAAATAAATGAATCCTTCATAGGATTCCTCATGCAACCTAAAGTAGTCCTTATGAAAAAGGGTTGTTTATAGACATCTGCAATTCAGAGTAGCTACTTTTGTTGCTTTAGATTCGAAGTTCATATTTGAAGCTACTATTTTGCTTTCTCAATCTGTATCATTTTAACCTTAAGTGAGCAACTCTGCCCATTCTCTGAGGATCATCTTTGGACTTTAAAAGCGAAAATTGTATACACCACACAGTTTATATTTTTAAGCCTGATTGTCCCAAAATTACTCACCAAATTTGGTGAACACCAGTTAGATAAATATCAATATTCAGTAAAGATAGGCTGAAACCTATCTTTTAGATAAGAACTACAGGCTAAGAAAGGCTGAGTGGAATTCTTCTACATCAACAACACACGGTTCTGTGATGTGGTTGTAATGCAATTTAGTCAACCATTTTAACAAGTGATGGATGTTCATTTAGTTAATCTTTCATTTTTTTCCCCATTGTGAAAAATGTAGTAATAAACGATCTACTAAACCTATTTTTTTAAATGTGAAGCTTTATTTATTTGACATAGATTACTTGGAGTTGGTTTTTTGAGTTAAAATAAAAGGACAGATATAGATAGATAAAATTACACATAATTTTAATTTAAAAAATATTAACATATTGTCAAAAAATTTTAAGAATTCAAATTTCTGTCAGTAACATATGAATATAAAATATTTTCTAAATTACTATTAGCAATATATAGAGAAGTTTTAAATTTTTTGTCATTTTAGAAATTTATTTTGTTTAAATTGGCATTATGGTAGTTAGAGCATATCTTCATATTTTTATTATCAGTTTGGATTATTCTTTTGAGAACTCTTAATAATTCCTGTTTTTCCTGTTTATATGAAATTGAAACTTTCTTTTATTGTAAATATTGTCCTCTAGCCTCTAAGCAAATATTGTTTTTCAAGTCTCTTATTTAAATATTGACTTTATTGTAGAAATTTTGAAATATCAAAGTTCCTAATATTTATGGGTTCTCAGCCTTAGAGAGAGGTCTCACCTGCCACTGTGTTTTACATGTAGCTGAGTGTTTTTAAGATTTTAAAATTTTCTCTAATCAACAAATATTATGGGAAAATAATAAAAAATAAAATATTTAAAAAATTATGTATATGTAGTATGAAAAAAATAAACTGGCATTTAAAAACTTTTTTCTCTAATCAACATAAATATTTTTTTATTTTATTCTAAAATAAGAAATTTTGTTTTCTTCCAGGCGAATATTCAGTTGTGTTAGCACCTAATCTTGCATAATTTTACTCTTCCTCTTTATTCTAGCTCATGCTGAAAAACATCTATTTTATTAGATCTTACTCTCACTTTTGTTTTTATTATTTTCTTGCTAATATTATTTTTGTGTTTCTAAATAATTTATTTCAGTTTTCATCTTTTTAATTTTTTCCCTAAAATTTTAGTTTATTTTGTTGGCTCTAAAAAATATTAGTTGCTTCTTTTTGTTAAAAACACATTCATTGTTTTGCATTTTCTTTCAACTATAACAACACTGCAGATTTTGATGCAAAGCATTTTTTTCTTGAGACTAATATCTAAATTCTTTTTGATCTATCTTATATTTTCTCTTTGACTCAGGCATTACTGAAAAATATTTTTCTCTTAATTCCAAAGCAATTAAAGTTCTTACTTTTTATTATTTTTTAAATTTGATTGTATAACCATTAGATAATTATCATTAGATAAATATCGAATTACCATTAGATAAGTATCAGTAAAGTTTCCCTTTTTGTTGTTGTTGATGTAGTTGATGTTTCAGAGGAGCACATACTCTGAAATCAGAATGCCTGGTTTGCTCCAAAACCCTTCGTGTGGCTTGGACAGATTATATAAGCTACCTGTGCTTCAGTTTATTCATCCACATAATAGAGATGATAATAGTGTCTCACTCATATAGCAGTTTGGAGGATCAAATGAATTGATACATCTCTCTAACATTTTAAATTTGAAATTGTTAATACTTTTTATTTTAAAAATAACTAAATCTATATTTCTCTAATTACTGATGTCACCAGTGAAAGTTTATCTATAGATTTTTCCTTATTTTAAGAAAGGTTTACCTTAAATCATGTTCTGGTATTACACATTTGAGGGGTGATTCTGTTCCATCCATTCGTAGTGCCTCTACAGATTATTTTAATTTCTTATTCTTAAAATATCATTCAGTTCCATTTTTATCTTTTGATTTGTTCCCTTACACATTGTTTCCAGGAGAATAACTCTGAAATCTATAAAATATACGTTATCTCTTTACTTTGTTTTCGTTCCTGTTTTAATTCTCCTTTCCTCTTCTGAAAGTATTTGGTCATTTCAACAAGTTTGTGAGATAGAAATATGGGGCAGTGGGGGGAGTTATATATTTGCACTAACTCAAACTCCATATTCGTTTGACTTTTGAATTCCTAACTTTTCAAATTATACTTACTCTTTATTTTCCAGTTGAGAAATGGTTGTGTTTCTCAAATTGTAAATACGAAAGTCTTCCAACTCTACCGTTCTGGATTTTACATGTCATTTCATATCACTGTAACTGCGACAGAAATTGGAACAGGTAATGATTGTGTTTTATGGGCAGTCGAGAACATATGCAGTGTTTTACTAGGGAGAAGTCTGCCAAGTTAGCAGTACTCACTAACTACAGATCAATAACTGCTCAACATAGTAAAGTGGAGTACATTTGCCAATAGGTCAACCGGAGGGTTGCTTTGGAATAAGATTTTCCCCATAATATTCAAAATAAAATTATTATGTAATTGTTACATGTTTAAATCTGCTTCTATGCCTGCATCAATCAGGCAGATGAGCTGAAGTAGTAGAGCTAAACTAATAAGTTAGATATCTCTTTTTAACTTTGTGTAAATTAGTTGGTTATCAATTGCCAGTGTCTAATCTTTGTTTTAATATGAGTTCACAATCTACATCTACAAGGTCACATCCACCTTTCTGCCTGTTTATGTAAATGAGGCTTTATTGGTTCAGGGCCATATTTGTTTACCTTCTTAAGAGCTACAATAACAAAGTCGAGTAGTTAGTTGTGACAGAGATCCATGTGGTCCATGAGTTAATAATAATAACTATCAGATCCTTTACAGAAGTTTTTCAGCCTCTGTATAATATAACTGGGGACATTTGCAAGTCAAAAATTATTAGTGAGACATTTATAAGATTGCACATAGTGAGTACTCAATAAATATTTGTTAAAAAAGAAAAAAAGTAAAGTGAAATTTAATTTGGGACGGGGAAAACCAAATTCAATTATTAATTATTTCTTGTTACTTAAACATAATTGGAATCATATTATTTATAAAGTGCTTTGTATAAATATACTTGACCAATATTGTGATGGCATTCTTGATGGATGTTTGTCACATTTATATTGTAACTTAGCTAGATGTGTTTGCCTCTACTTATTACATGCTTTGTTGACATCACAATGCATTTCTACTTACTTTACTATCAGATATTTTTCCAATCTGGTGAAAGTGTAAAAACAGTTATCTTGCAAGCTAAAAGATTTCAGAAAGTGAAAGCCTTATTCTTGAGATATCTTTGACATTCTCTATCATAAAGAGAGTTATAAGCAACAACTGAATAGAATGGTAAGAGAAAAGAAATTAAGAGCATTTTCTCCTGCTTTTGATTTAAATATTTTCATATTAATTACATTATTCAGTTTGATGTATGCTATAATCAGATTGATATAGAGTACCCTGAAACATGCTCTGAAACATTCACATATCAAAGGGGATCAAATATATGGTAGCTGAAGGAAACTGGACTTTGGGCGGTAATCACACAATAGAATATATAGATGTCAAATTATAATGTACACCAGAAAATTATATAATTGTATTAACCAATGTTACCCCAATAGATTTAATTTAAAAAAACAAAAATTAGCCCAAATGTGTATCAATAATAGATTATTGAATAAAATATGTGATATCCATGAAACATCCACAACTTCCTTTCAATGTAGAGCAAGAATATAATTCTGTGTAAAGACATTTGCACACGTACCCTAAGCTATTTGTTCTTTTAAAATTCTTAATCAAATGATTGATCTTCCCTGACACTGTTTTTCATTTCTTACAGGTATACAGATCAGCGAAAAGGCTTCTGTTTCTATCACTCAACTGCTTGGGAGTGTGAATTTTGAGAACATGGACACTTTTTATAGAAGAGGAATTCCTTATTTTGGAACGGTGAGTCTGACTAAAAAATATATTTTCTTATTTCATTTTCTTGGATCCTAGTTTGCCCTTTTAAAATTTCTGAATACCTTTTTCATAACACATTTGCATCATTACTGTGTCTGATATACTGGAAAAAGTCTTAAGCTGAAAGCAATAGATAAAATTATAGCTGTTTCCATATTATACGTTTATTTATTAGAACATCTTTCTGTCAGAATTTAAGAAAATTACAAATAAATGATTATATTTATGAATAGAAAATTCCTTCTCTGTATAAATATGACATTTCGAATTTTAAAAATTAATACTTCTTTTTGTTTTAACAGCTTAAATTTTCCGGCCCTAATAATGTACCGATGGTGAACAAGTTATTGCAATTGGAGCTTAATGACAAATTTATAGGAAATTACACCACAGATGAGAATGGAGAAGCTCAGTTATCTATTGACACTTCAGATATATTTGATCCGGAGTTCACCCTTAAAGTAAGATATACTAAAGAGGATTTGAATGTTAGGAATCTCTTAAAAGATAACATATTGAAAATTTTAACGTTTTAAAATTTAGGATGTTTTATGTTTGCTTGTTCCTTAAATAATATGTAAGAATATGTATTCAAGAAGATGAGATAACCTATCGCAACTGTTATAAATTCTCTAACAACCAATATTTTTCTCTGAGAAAATGAAATAGCTCACGAAGATGATTTGACTTTTTTCTTCTGACCATTTTATGAATAAATAGGGGAGATACTAGGATTTTCTTTTTCTGTTAAGCAGAATTTTGCAGTTAAAAAATGTATCAGTGTTCAAATGTAGCTGAAAGACAAAGGGCCTAAGGCTATTCTCTGACTTCAATTACAAACCAAAAATAAACAATTCATTGTAGGCCTAATGAAATAGACATACAATTATGGTCATGTTTTATATGCAAAAAGAGGAGAGTGCTATTATTATTTTACTTCCAATAGCTTAAGTTTAAAAGTCAGCCACAAGCTAAAATTCCTCCCTACTTTGAAAGTATAAGAAGCTTCCATTCCATAATAATTATTGTCCTTGAAACGGTAATAGTGCTAAGATCCTTGGTTTTCTTTTTTTTTATTTACAGTTGACATTCAATATTATATTAGTTTCAGGTGTACAGGATCATGGTTAGACATTTATATAACTTACAAAGTGAAGCCCCAGTAAGTTTTGCACCCACCTGACACCATACGTAATTATTACAATATTATAGAGTATATTCCCTAAGTTGTACTTTACGTCTCCATGACTATTCGGTAACTACAAATTTGTACTTCTTAATACGTTCACCTTTTTTATACAGTCACCAACCCCATTCCAACACCTGTCCACCATCTGTTTGTTCTCGGAATCTACACTTTGTTTCTGTTTTGTTCATTCATTTATTTTGGTCTTTAGATTACACACATAAGTAGAATCATATGGTATTTGTCTGTCTCTGTCTGACTTATCCCACTTAGCATAATACCCTTTAGGTCCATCCATCTTGTCGTAAATGGTAAGATTTCATTCTTTTTAAAGACCAAGTGATATTCCATAGTATATATGTACTACATATTCTTAAATGTTCCAATCAAAAGAATGGAAGAATGAAATGGAAGAAAAACAGTAAGGCAAACAATAGATTCATGAGGAGTTATATATAGACTGTGTTTAACATGTATGCAGTAGACTCAAAGGGGGTAATATTCCATTCTTTTGAATCTTCCATTCTTTTAATTGGAACATTTACTCTATTTACATTTAAAGTAATTATTGATAAGTATATAGTTATTGCCATTTTATTAATTTCTTTCTGAATGTTTTTGGAGTTCTTCTCTGTTCCTTTCTTATTCCTGTGTTTGGATTTTGTTCTCCTAATTTCTCGTATATCTCTTATAGATTTTTGATTTGTGGTCACCAAGTGCTTCATATGCACCAAGCTATGCTTATAGGAGCCTATTTTAAGTTGATGGTTGTTTAACTTTGAACATATTCTAAAATCGCTACCATTTTTACTCAACCCTCCCAAGTTTATGTTTTTGTCATTATTTTTTACTTCTTTTGTGTGTGTATGCATATCCATATCCCTTAATTTATTGTTAAAATTACACATAATCTTTCTACTTTTGCCTTTTAATCTTTGTACTAGCTTTAGTGTTGGTTGATCTACTGCTTTTATTATGTATTTGCCTTTGGTAGTGAGATTTTTTTTTCTTCGAGTTTTTTTTTTCTTATATATACTTTTGATATTTTTCTTCTTCTTAAAGGAATCCCTTTAATATTTTTTATAATACTGGTTTATGGTGATGACTCCTTTAGCTTTTTCTTGTCTGAGATTCTTTATTTTCTTTTATCTTATCAGGCCTCATATCTTCACCCTGAGAGCTGCTATCTTCCCAGCTGGTTGACACCTAAATATGTGGATGCCCATTTTTCAGTCCCACGCTTTTACTCTCGAACGAACAGTTTCCTGAAGATTGTTCCTGAACAAAAGCAACTTAGATGCGATCAACAGAAAATTGTTACTGTGCATTACTCACTAAACAGTGAAGCATATAAGGATGATTCAAATATAAACTTCTTTTATTTGGTAAGTCTCAGCTGGTGGATTTTTGGATCTTGTCTGTCCGCTTAACGCAGTTCAACTTAAAATAGGTATATCAGTCATGCATGTTAATCTGAGTGAGCCAACCTTACTTTGCTGATGAATACTTTTGGAACCATTAAAAACAAACAGAAACAAATCAATGAACACATGAAAAGATCCAAGATAATTTCAGTTTCCCTAAGGCTGAGAAACTTAATCTTTAGAGTCTGCTATTTTAAGCATTCGACTATAATGTATATCAAGTATTTATGACTCTTCATGAGAGTAAGATATTAGGCAGATATCAGAGACTAAAGTGGAAGGCTAGTTTTGATAAGCAATAAAAGGAATTTGCCCTTTTGGTTCTGTCCTTATGTTTATCTATTTTGTCTCTATAAGGCATATTAAAAGGTGAAAATCTACAGACTTAGAAATTTAGACTCTTAATTGAAATCTTTTATTCTCTCCTATTTATCATGCCAGCTAGTTGATCTGGGACAGATTGTTTAAACTCTCTAAGCCTTAAGTTTTTCTTCTCTATATTTGTAATTGGAAATAATGACTTACCTCCTGGGGTAAGTATTATGTATCAGGCCATGTTATGAGTATTACTTTGGTGGTCAGCCTTATGAATATCTCCATTTTATAAATAAGGAAACAGAGGCAAAGAAGTGAAATGACTTATTTGAGGCCAGACAATCTAAATGATTTTATGCAGCTTTATGCACCCCCACCCACAGAGTGCATTGCTTATTATTCAACACGTTTTTAACACATAGTAGACTCTCAATAAAGTATAGTCACTTGGTCTGTTCTTTTCCAAGTTATGTGAAGTCCTATTTTAATATATGTTCATGGAAGATACCTTATCATACAAATAGAATTATCACTAGATCATTTATTATCTAATAATAATATAATATCATATTAAATAATATGATTTCACATATTGGGTTGTCTTGTCCTGCACAGGTGATGGCAAAAGGAACTATCTTCCTCAGTGGACAAAAGGAAATCAGAAACAAAGGTGTATATAATACATTTATTTTTTAATATGTACTCTACTTTCATTTTTCTTCCTTTTTAAGGAAATGTTATAGTGATAGAGTCAATAATTAGATTAGAAGAATGCTTAACATTACTATTTGTGAATGGAGGACAATAGCGTGGCCCAAGACAACCTACTAAATATTTTGATGAAGGCAATTTCAACCTGTTTCTATTATTGCCAAGTTATCAAGTGCATTATAGAAAAGTGGTGTCTGGAACTCAATTACTGTTATTGCCTAAATTAAGCAGTCTTCTTTATTTGTCTGTGTAGTTCCCATTATTTAATTTATTTGCCTTTAAAATAAAGCCCAATTTGCTCTTTCTATCCATAAGCCAATTCTCTTTTATGTAAGTGTACTCAGTGAGCCAGGAAACTTTTAGTATTACATCTGTCAATGGTATCTCCTATTTACACAGCCTGGAAAGGAAACTTCTCATTCCCAATCAACATCAGCGCTGACCTGGCTCCTGTGGCCATCATGTTTGTCTACACCCTTCACCCCAGTGGGGAAATCGTGGCTGACAGTGTCAAATTCCAGGTTGACAAGTGCTTTAAAAACAAGGTGATGTTTCTTTTATTTCTTGTCAGTCCTGAGTGAGAGGGGTGAGCAGTTTTCTCTCTGTCACCTCTTTCTTGTCTCACTACTATAAACTTTACATGGCAATCCCACAATAAATATTGGCATAATTAAATTATTAGGGGATGAGAGAATCACCAAACGGAATGAATAACTTTTGATAGCGATGCCAATCCTGACATGTTAGGGGATGTCCCCGTAGGAGTGTCGAAGGTGAGAGTAGGCAGGGGAAATATAGGTAAGAAATCTATAAAGACTTATTTGGAAAATATCGAATATATTCAAATTATTTTCATATAAAATTATTTTACTCTCATTCTTTTTCTTTTTCTTTTAGGTTAGCATAAAGTTCTCTAAGGAGCAGGGACTACCTGGCTCCAATACTAGCCTGTATCTTCAAGCAGCCCCTGACTCATTCTGTGCCCTCCGGGCTGTGGATAAGAGCGTTCTTCTACTGAAATCAGAAAAAGAGCTGTCAGCTGAAAATGTAAGCTCTCTGACTTCCTCATTTTCCTCATTTTTATCTGAACTCCTCAGATGACATTTTTTGTTTGAAACCGAACATGTCGAAAATACCAAATATTCTCTTTCTTTGTTTCTTCATGAGTTATATATTTATTTCTCCTGGCTGACCCAGCACTCATAACAATATAGAATTCTGCGGATAATTGTAATGGGTAAAGGATCGTACAACAATGTGATTTAAATATATGCTTAGATACAGTCTAAAGTTATTATCTATTAATGGATCTCATATTTTCATAAGCATTTCAAGCCAGAAATCTCAGAATTTCACACCAAAATTGTTTCAGTTAATAACCGTTTGATAATTTTCCCTTTATTTTTAACACAAATATATATAAATATGGAAATTTATGATCATATGTAAAATTAATCTAATAATTTTAAAAATTGTCTTAATCCATCGGTGCTGCTGTAACTAAATGCCACAGTCGGGGTTGCTTATAAACTATGGAAATTTATTTCTCACTGTTTGGGAGGATAGATGTCTGAAATCAGGGTGCCAGTACCATAAGGTGAAGTCCCTCTACTGGATTGCCAACTTCTCCTTGCATCCTCACATGGTGAAGGGAGGAGGGAGCTTTTTTTTCCTTTTGTCTTTATTGAAATATAATAGACAATTAGTCGATTGTATTTACATCATACAATTCAAAGAGTTTTTTTTTTCAATTATAGTTGGCATACAATAATATACCAGTTTTAATTGTATAGCATAGTGACCAGAGATCCACGTAACTCGCAACGTTTAATCATCTTTTTTAAGGGCACTAATCTCATTCTTTAGAGCTCTTTCCTCATGACCCAATCACTTCACAAAGGCCCAACTTCCTAACGTCATCAAACTAGGCATTAGGATTTCAACTCATTAATTTCGGAAAGACGCAAACATTCAGACCACAGCACCTGCGTATTGTAGAAAATATGTGAAATAAACATAAGCATGAAGAAGGAAATCTTTAAAATCACTCATAATCTTAAAACTTAGACATAAGTACTTTTTTTTCTAATTTTTAAAATCTCTTTTCTGATGGCATATATATTTAACAAACAAAATCTCACCGAAAAATGCAGTTTTTTATTTTGTTATCAACACTCTACAGTAAATCTAGTTTTAAATACAAAGCTATAAAAATTAATAACAATATCTAATAACTGTGAATCATGACATAAACTACATATTTTTTCCCAATGTAAAATTGTTTTACTAAAGTTTTGTTGTGAGGAGGGCAGGTTTTCTGAATATTAAATACTTGGTTCCCAATTTATTTAGGTTTCTTGAAAATACTTCTCCACTATTGCTTTGTTTTGAATATTGCTTTTAAAAATCCGGACATAGGTCTAATTCCTTTGCCTTGTAAATTATTTAATCTTTTTGCCTGAAGGCCTTGAGGATTTTTTTGCCCTTTATATTTTAAATGTAATCATTTTAGTAAAATACCTGTCAGAATTTATTGTTTGGAGGAAGTTTTACTAAGTACTCAGTGGACCTGTACAATGTGTAAATACAAACCTTTTATTTCCAGAATTTGACTTGAATTACAATTTTATATATCAGTTTTTCTATTGTTTATTTTTCTCTTTCTAGAAAAACTCTATAAATATGTTCTATCTTTGCCTGCTTTCCAATTCACTTTTCTTATGACCTATTTTAATCCATTCTTTCTCTCACTTTTATTCTCTTTTTTGCTATGCTACTTTTTAACTTTTTCTTTCAATCTATTGTTTTCTTGAGCTCCTAACACTTTAGCATTTATTTCTCTTTTATCTTATAGTAACTTTGTTGGAATTAATTTTTTCCAGTTCTTGATATTTTGTGGACAGTGTTCATAAATAAAGGGTACTTTTTCCTGTTATTTTAGTGAAATAAAATTTCTTTAATAAAAATGTTGTTGATGATAGAAATAGGAGTGAAGAGATTAGCATATTTTATTCCTCTTGTTTCTGCAGTGTCCTAAATTTTACCCTTTTACTTCCTTTCTTCCTTTAAGTGCTCTATTTCCAAGGGTCACTATACCTCCTTGAATGAATTGATTTCCCATCAGCCATTCTGTTTGAAATCTGCCACTTCTAGGTCCATTCATTTCAAGCACCTTCCCTGTTTCCTATACTGGAAACTATTACATCCAATGATTCGTTGTTGTCTTTTTTTTTTCACACTTAATGTACTTTTATTAATCTGGAGTTGATTTGTTGTATATCTTCTCTAATTTCTCTAGCTTTCTTCTGTTTTTTTCTTATAGTCTCTTAAGCCTTCTCTCTCCGGCTTTCCATACGCTTAGATTTTCAGAAGCAGTAGAAACTCAGTTGGAATTTGGTATTTATTTCTCTAATAACAAGTCATTTGAAGGTCACAACATTATCTGTACCCAAGTAATGTTAAAGATATAAGTCATTGATTTTATTACTTCTCTTCAATTTTATGTTTTCTTTGAAAGGATTTGTGAAAAGATTTAGAACCAGGCAAATACCATTTTTCGCCAAATTTGAGAGTTCTAGCATCATAATTGCAATGAATTATCTGTACACTGGGCCTTGGATTAAGCCATAGATCTTCAGGCTTCTTTTCCTTACATGTTATTCTTGCACCAATGCTGAAAATTTTTGTAAACATGTCATTGACCACTTAAAATAAAATTGAAGGTTTCCTCTCCTAGAAGAAGGAGCTGATTCAAAAGTGTGAGATTCAATATTACAGCTACAGTCTTAAAGAAAAGAACAAGAATAAATAGTTATGGCACAAATTTGCCAATTTTATAAAAATAAAAAAGGGCTTAAAATCATTGGGAACTATGTGATTTTTCTCATAGGTATACAGTCTGCTTCCAAATATAGAACTTTATGGTTATTTCTATCATGATCTCAACCTTGATGATGCCAGGCTAGACCCTTGCATTCCTCAGAAAGATATGTTTTATAATGGCTTGTATTACATACCTGTAAGCAACAGTGGGGATGGAGACATATATAATATCATCAAGGTAAGATCACTCAAAATTTTTTAAATTATTTCATCTCAATTTTAATTTTAGTATTTATAATGTATGTCTGTTTTATTAATTATGTAGTTTTCTTCCTATTCTTTGAAAGAGATGTCAGTAACCTGCTTAAAGAGTGCTTGGAAGTTGTCATTAAAAGGAGATCTTAATTTTTGTTGATTTTCTCTCTTTTGTTGAAAATAAATTAAGTGGCAGCTGAAATTGTAAAAACTTATGTTTGAAGTAATGAGATAGTCTTCTGTTTATTATGATAAATCTTACGCAGAAATTATCAAATCAAGAGGCTAGAATATAGTATGGGCTCCATTCATACCTGGATTATCAACTAGATATGCTGAGACCTTCATAAAAGGATTTTTATAATTGAAGTCATAGGTATAGAAGAAAAGGAACATGGAGATTTTAGTTTAAGTCTCAGCTCTCCAAATTACTGACTGTATATTGTGTGTGTGTGTGTGTGTGTGTGTGTGTGAGTGAGTGTGTGTTTACTTAGGGTTTAAATTATCTATCTCATAAGTAATTTTCCCATAGAATTAAATGGAAAATGATGTAAAATACTTAGCAAAATCCTAGCACATGATGAGTGTTAGATAAATCAGACTGATTATCATTTTTTCTCTAAATTAGAGATTTCTCATATGCTAAATAGAGAAGACTTGACTTCTAAAATTCCAGACCCTTACTAGAAGAGGAAATACATATATTTATCATTAATGTAGGTAATAGACCTTTTTTAGGTCTTGCATGAAAGGAATGCACAATTGTTCTTTCATTGTTTGTTTCTTCGAAGGACATGGGTCTGAAAGTTTTTACCAATCTCCATTACCGGAAACCAGAAGTATGTTCAATGGAGAGAATGAAGCCATTTCCTAGGCCACTGTATCTAGCCAGAGGAGATTCTAAACTGTTGTACAGTGCATCTAAAGCTGCAGGTGAGTAATCTAGCTAGAATTTTGTGTCTGAAAGATGGCCAAAATGATGTTATGGAATTGGATGTATTTGGGATAAAACTATCAAAAAATGGGATTTAATATGTGAATTATGCCAGGTTTTGGCTCCAACTACACATCCTGCAAAATAAAGCAGAATAAGAAAGGATGAGAATGGTTTGAGCTAAAAGGAAGAATTAGCTTTAGATATGAGAGAAAGTTTATTTTTATTGGTAGAACGCAATATCAGAAGTATGTAGGAGCATGCAATGTGTGGTGATATGAGAAGACAGTCATTCTAAATGAATATGATACAGAAGAATGAGGTGTCCTTATGGGAAACCTTATATACTATTATGTATAGACCATAACTCACAGAGTTCAAGGCAGAGGATGTTTTGATTCCTAGATAGCCAAATGGCTGACATCAGAGAATTATATTCAAATACTAGTCTATTTCCTGATATAAGGACTATAAGCACAAAACTCAGTTATATCTTAGGTCAGAAAGGTAATTAGGCAGATTTCCAATACAGAAATTTCATCAGGGAAGCAAAATGAAACAAGGACATAAGAATAGAACTAAAATAAAAGCTGTACTCCAGATCTAAAAATACTTGAAAATTCCTTAAATCTCTCTGGCCTACCATTGAGATTAGTCTAGTAACTGAAGTGGGGCTGATCTTGAAAAAGGGTATTAGAAACCCCACTTGAGAAAAATGAAAGACCTCGCAACTTTCTACAAGAGTAGACTCAGTGAATTCAAGAGGCCCTATAGCATCCAAAAGTTAAAACTACTTTGAAGTCCTGTCGAGAGGTTGAAGCTATCTACTTTTCTGCAACTAGATTAAATCATACTTACTGAGCTTTATCAGAAACACCTAAACTTTTTAGTATCATTGAATAAAATGAACTGAAATAAAATATACTGAAACTCATAAGTCATCAATTTTAATCTCTTCTTTCTTCAGTTATTCATTTATTAACTCATTGAACATTTATTGAGACCAAGAATTTAGTTACATATTGCAAATGCAATGGCTTAATCTCTGCTTTTTTGGAATTTTTAGTCTAACAAGGAAGCCTTACAGTGAAACAGATAATTTCCAAAA